ATACTTACCTATCGTTATTATACACGTATCGGGCTATTGGTTATTACTTCAAAATCTCAGAGAAACGACAGTGTGTGTGTGTGTGTGTGTGTGTGTGTGTGTGTGTGTGTGTGTGTGTGTGTGTGTGTGTGTGTGTGTGTGTGTGGTGTGTGTATGCTCGAATATTTACTTACACCGTCACGGCGCAACCATGACAATAATTACTGACAAAACATGTACCTCATATTATGACCATCGTGTCCACTATTTTACTGAGAAAATTAGTTTCAGTTAATCACTCACGTCCCAAATGTTCTCATTCTATAATATGAGTGATGTACTGATGTGGGAAAATAAATAAATTGTGCCGTTACACAATTTTCCTTAACTCGATTCAAGTGCGTATTATACATACCGCACCCATCCGATTTTAATGGATGATCGGTAATAATTCTCTTTGACCTACACAGATTGCATGTATAATTAATTCATGTTTGCAATTAATGTATTGCACTATAAAGATAAGGTTTTAATATTTAACTTATGCCTCGTCTTAATTAAACATTGATTGCCTTACATGTTAACTCAGAGATCATTAACTTAATTAATATGAGTGCGTATCCTCTAGGTTAAATACCTAATCTAAAATCTTAAACATAATTATAGCTAATTTAACGGATTAGTGTAAAATTCGTTCTCTTATTTTATATTTTTTTAGTTATTTTTCAAATAAGTGCAATGGTTTACCTACAGTTGTACTGTCGTAGAAAAATGTATATTACCTATATAAATGTGTTTTTTGTGGTGAATGTATTATTATTATTATTTTGTTTTATTTTTCGAAAATTTCAAAAATCTCGAATTCTACTGTATAAATATGTTTGGTATTAGCGAACACGCACCAGCAGTTACAGCAGAACCATTATTTCGTATACGCACCATTAGCAGAAACTGTCCGGTAATCGAACCTAATGCTAGTTCTGACCATAATAATAATTACCGTAGCTGCTGGATAATGATTATGGTCGGTTTGTGTGCGCAATGTGTTTGGTGGCCGACGGGGGAGAGAGCCTCATTAAAGATCACAAGCGTCCATCAACGTTGATGAGCTCAAAAATTGTTTGTTAGTTTTACCCGGCAAATAGGTCACTTGTGGGTTTGCGTTTGAGTTATGGAAGTTTTGGAGTTCGCAACGGCCAAAGTAAACAAGCCAGAAAATACCTGCAGAAGTGATACAATATGACACGTGTAGTTCACTTAACTGATGTATATATATGCAGGACATATTGATATACTTCTATAGTTCTATGTTCAATTATAATTGTGATCCTGAATTTGGTAATTACTATTATTCTCTGTCAATATGAAAAATTCTGTTTTCTAGTCATCGCGTTATCACAGTTCTCAAATAATTAATCGATACATAATTTATTTTACGTACCTCGTACGAGTACTCGTATTACAGCACTATGCACTCATGTTCAATCTCTGTATAAATTGCCCATTTCCTTGGTCGGTTGCTCGTGTATGATATTTCGTTCAAACTAATCATGAAACTCTTAGGACTACATTGGATTTCATCCGGAAATTTCACACATTTCGCTACCCGAAGAAGCCGATTTTCGTAACGAAATTCGAAGAGGTATAATATTTCTGAGAATTATTATATTGCATTATTGTCTATATTGTATAAATGCAACAACCGTCCGTTTTTTAAAGGTATAGTTGGAAAGTTACGAGAATGATTTTAAAATACTGTTTGTTGGTTTTTTTATACAAAAAAAGCAATAAAAATAATGCGACAGAGATAGATTTCTTTCGTTGGATTTACTACTCTCGCGGTGTTATCTGCATTAGTATCTCTCCCCCGTCTTTGGATGTAATCGGTTTATAATACGTTTTGTGTCTTATGAACAGTAAGTCTATATTAATCGATTGCCGTCAAACTCGATATTATATATATAGGCTGTAGCCTATGGGTTATTGGGTGGTCTTCTTGCAAACGAAACCGCACACATTCCGTTCTGAGTATAAGTTCGCTCACCTCTAGCCTATAAATATTATATCTACACTTAGGAAATTAATTGAATTTTTCGTAAAAATACGCGTAGTTCCACAATATTGTTGTGCGCATCTGTCGGATGAGGGTGTACGCGTGTGCGTGATCAGACGGACTTAGTGCCGAGGATGGTGATTGGCGTCGTTGGTGGCGGGTGGAAGGACGGGGAAAAAATCGTTTTCGCAAACTCGACACGTAACCGTTATATTAGCACTCCAAAAATGTTTCGGAATACAAGGTAACAAAAAAAAAAAGAAGAAAACCCTACGACATCGACGGCGAATCATTTGCTTCCTCCGCACACCATAACGTATACATGCACGTATTGCGGTATTGACGGGTTGCCTTCTTTATCGTGTGCGCTCGCTCTCGAATAGCCTTTTGTGGGTGGTTGGAAACAGCGGCGGTGGTTAATCGTGCTCGGAGTGGTTTCTCGCAGGAAAAACGCATTGCCGCGATTTTCCGTTAGCCGTATAGGGAGCTAAGGGTGGTAGCTGCGGCGGCGTATAACACGCCGTAATAATGCTCGCCACCCGCCACCCCGATTTGACGTTCGGCGGAGGTTGCGACAAATTGCCGGGCGTTTAAAACTTTTTAATAACCCTTTTTATTTTTATTTTCGCATTGTTTTTGTAAAAACCCACAACGTGCGCCCGCCCCTGTGTAGGTATTATATATACATAGTATACATTGCGCCGGATCTGCCGGGACAAACAACAAATGGGCCGCAATTATTGCGGACGACGTGCGTCGCGGCCGGAAACGTTTCCGGACTAATGATCTTTTCATTCCTGCGCCCGTCCGAACTACCACCGCTGCGATGACGGTGGTGGCAATGACGACCGCGACGATGACGATGATGATGATGATAGTGTGCGTGTGTGTGTAGACAGGATAAAGAAAACCCATACCGTTCCCATGCAGCAACCCTTCCGACCCCTAACCGTCATCGATGGATGCTGCTCATCCGAGGAATGTTATTGTTATTAACCGACCCCGTCGTTGTATGACGTTTTTCTTTTTACCCCAGCACGCATGCGCACTCGCGATATGTATTATTAATGCTAGGAAACGGAAAAAAAAAAATTTGTTTTTCCTTCAAAGGTTCTTCTCGGAGCCGCTCGACCAGTGAGCTGTGTGTAATCGAGCACCAACTTCCGGTCGACGTCCGAGGGTCCTTAAGGTTTCAGTTTTTTTCCTTCTTCGGCCTGGGGTATATCGAAATAGGAAGGAAAACTACCACTACCCCCCCCCCCCCTTGTATTTTTTTCTCATTCTACCGTCGATTGTTGTCGATATAGTGATGGTTTTGGATTAAGCAATTCCCTTACCAATAATACGTCGAAAAATAAATCAAACTTGGAACTATAGGCGTATAATATTATTTATTCCGTCGAACGTGATGTCGAAGTGACGAATAGGCTATAGCATGTGTACTTTGGTTTCTATTTATATGTGTGTAAAATGTGTTATCTTTTAATAAAAATCTATCGATTTTTTCATGCTTTTGTTTATTAAACATTATGTTTGTTGCGTACAACCGTTAAAACACTGCTATAGATTCATCTACAATAACGATTTTCATAGTAACCCTTAACCCAACATACCGATACCCTGTAAACAAAACGTTTGCGAATAATAAAGTTGATTTTAAAATAATACTTCTCTTTAAATTTGAACTCGCAAAAAATTGTAAATTTTTATATAAAATAAATTACTTCTCGTGCGCTTTTTTTTTTATCAAACTAGTAGATACCTAAAACCTTTCTACATTGCTATCTTGATTCATTTTTTATTTTACGCCCATCAATATTATTCATCTATATTATATTATAATATATCTATTTTCAAATCAGGGACGAGGGTATATATATTTTATGCTATAAGGTTTTTTGTAATACCCTTTACTAGAACACTATTTTCGTTGTTATGGCTGCCAACGTCATAACACTAAACACATTTGCTGATTAAGTCTTTTTTTTTCTTTAAACGTCCATTTTTACCCTTATCTTGTGTAGATATTTTTTTAATGGTTATATAATATGTTAAAGGCACTTTTCTCGTATACTTGCAATAATATGTATACATAGATATCTCACACGAACATGTCCAACGAACTGTCAAATCTTTAAATAAGAGTTTATTTTTTAGTGGTTGATTTAAAATAATGTTGGATTGTGTTTTAAATATCCAGCAATAAGTTAGAGTCTTAAACAAAAACTACTACACCACCAGTTATAGTTCATGGAAAATACACTTAAGAATATTATGATCCCATCTGTTTCCGAAATTTTTGATTTTTTTTACTTATTTATATAATATTTTGTTTTAAATCAATATTGTACTTAGGCGTTGGTGGTCTTATATTAATTACATAATTTGATTTTGTTTCAACGTGTACCGTGTGCATATATCGATTTGTAATTTACATATTTAAGCAGATATCGACAGAATACCTGCATTCGCAAAAACCAAATAATTGAGTATCGCATATCCGTGATTTTAAACCATCAAAACATTTACCATAAAACCTTCAAAAGTCATACCCCATATAAATTCGAAGAACTCAGCGCAAACGAAACCTTATTGTCTGTGGTACATTATAATATACCTATTACCTAGCATACCATCTATTCAGTAGTATACTTTACAATATTAATCAACAGCGCTTTTCAGTGACACGATTTTTGGAATATGAAATACGCGAATGCGAATAATTATACTGATGATGTCTGAGCAGAATTTTGTATTGATTTCATCGAAACCATCACACAGTGTTTATTGTCGTCACACAGCGCGCTCCTCGAATATCATTTTCATATATTTTAACATCAAAACATTTAATCTAGAATATTGTTTTTATGCGCTGAGCGTAATATTATTAACGTATAAAACATTTAAATAGTTTAATGTACCCTGTGATCTGCATACACTAATGATGTCCATTTTTCTTTTCCTACAGCTGAGAGCCACCACCACCACGGAGTTGGTTCGGGTTGCCGATACCCATCGTGGTTGACCGAACACCACACCTGGCACTCATTGAACCACGGTCACGTTTACCATTTCTCGCCAAGAAACGGCACGTTGCGGAAGAGCATCCCAGGGGCTGGCCCGGACCACGACATCCGCGCCGCGTGTTACAAGGTAATCAACGTCACCGATAACAAGGCGCTGATCATCACGCATTACACTATCGGCTGGTAAGTACATCGATCGCTTGAAAAGCGGTTTTTTGTAGTTGTTTTTTTTTTAAGCACATACGCACGCATTTATTTCCTTTTTTTTAATCACGACCGGTGTACGCACCGTCGTATACACCACACCACCATATACGACGCTAAAAAGGGGTCGGGAAAATCTCGACTACAGATTTCCCTCTCGAGTTAAATATAATGTTGTGTTATGACTGTTATGAGTGTTTGGAGTTGGTTTTATAATATCTATATGTTTTTTTTTACTTTTCAACGGTTCAACCTCCAAACGAACATGTGATATATACATGTACACATGTGATGCAAATGCGTGTGTGTAGACGTGTAGTTGTATGTGAGTATAAGTGTGTTTGTATACACATTCTTACGAAAAACACTCTCGAGTACATTCATCCGTGTCGGCGTGGTTCGTATAAGTAATCAACCCCGTCTTTATTTTTTTCCAATTCTTATTCTCGTGTACGGTCATAAAGTAAAAGGAAGGGTAAAAGGGTATTCAAAGCTCGGCAAATTAAAACCAACGTTTTTATTTTCTTCTTTTTTTATTATTATTATTTCTCTCAAAGTCTACATCATAAGTAGAATTTCGCTCGAGGGAGGATTATTAATAAATAGTGACTACACACGGTAAAAAAAAAAAAAAATAAAAGCAAGTGTAATATTGCGGTGTGGTGAAGTTTAAATTTCACAAATACGGGAATGTTCGTTATTTTCTAATGGTTGCCGTCAATATAATTAACGATCGAATATATACGCAGATACGATATCTATATAGTATATACACATCCTGCCCCGACTATGTGCCGCCAGGCAGTATTGTGGCTTGTACACGTACGCGCAGCGAAGACATTACTATGCGCATCAATTTCAAGACATCAAATAATAAGATCGTATAGAATGTTCTAGTGCTCGTTTACACGGTTTACAAATCAAAATGACGACCAGACGTGTTTATGGTTTGACTAGTTAAATTTTATTCGAACAATATCCAAACTTAATATATATCTCCATCCGTTAAGACATTGTATTAATAGTGTCTTACAGAATTCCTTTAGTGGCTTGCATAATTTAACCGACCGGCGACCACAAAGGCACCAAAAATCTACTGCCCTGTGTATTTGATATTTAGTTAAAATATGTAATACTTCAAAACTGAGAACACAGTAAATTTTGGACACGAAAATAATATATAGGCATAGTGTTATTTATCATCGCATAAGGTGACTTCACTATAACGAAACCGTAACAAATTAATTTCGACGGCAATCTTTGAAACAACATTCGATTTCTTCAACAAACACGTAAACTGCAGTCTAAACACATCGATATCTCAAAAATAATAACGAGATATATTAATACTCTATGTTTATTTTTTCATTTATTTCCTTGCGTATTTCCATAGGTAACTAATTCCAAATCGTTCAAACAATTAATTCCATTAATGCAATTGTTTTGATGTATTTTTAATTACTGAATATAATAATTACTCATTCAACTGGGTCATTAAATTTGTAACAAATTATTAAATAATTATTAGGTAGTAGTTTATTTAATGGTACATTTTATTTTGCAGCCAAAGCGGATATGCGTGCATGGGGTTTTATCGCCGTGACAGCCAAGTTGTTGAGGTCCAAGAGAGTGGTACGTATATGCAACTTAAGTGTCACACATAACTAACAGTCAAACATAAATGTATGCTAAAAACTTCGCCAAAAGTTTTCAAAACAAGCGTATAAGTAGTTTTAATGGGAACCGACAGGTGTCAGACCAATATTATGACAAAATAGGCTGACAAACTCACGAACGAAATTAAAATGTTTTACGTCAAATTTGGGCTGTGAACTTGTCACAATAAAATCGTAATGCTAACTTACGCTTACGAAAGTTTGCCATCTATCGAAATGAATAGTGTGCGTTTTGCAAACTTTTCACTTAGGCGTTGATATTGTAAGACATACAAACTTATTTTTCCCATTCTCCTAAGAGAGATGGCTACGAAGAAAAATAGGAGTTGTTTAAAGCTATATAATCCACAAATCTACTAGTGTAAAGTATTGAAAATACGTATGACCATGTTGTAAGCTTATTTAATCATCGTAGTTTTCCCATGCGATTCCTAAACAAACAATACGTGGCGTAAATAAGTATAGATAACTGTATGATATGAATATTACATTTAAACTATTTTACATTTAAATATCAAACGCTTTCATCCGTGAAGGTAAGTAAATGTATCCATAACGTATATTAATCAAATTTCTTTACATGAAACAAATTAAATTCCGTGGCTCTTCGACATCCTACAGGTATTCGTATTATCTTTGTTTTTCTTTGACATTTGACATTTCTGAATATAATATTATAGCTAGGTATTTACATAAACAAAAAAGAAAACAAATTTACAAGTTTTGTGAATTCTCAACTACTCAAAAACTAAAAATGTTTAACATTATTTTTTAATGTCAACATTTTTATCGGTAAAATAATATTATATAAGGTTTTGTTATTTTTAATATGTCACAGAAAAATAAAAATATCTCTTTCGTTGGCGAGGAAGGGTGAACATATTTAATATAAAATCCTCAAATTTCTATGGTAACGTGTCGGATTTGCTGAGATAGGACCAAAACGAAAAATATTGCACCGCTGCCAAGTAACCGCCTCCGAGGCGGAAATACCGAGACGGCTCATATATATTCATACGAGCGAAGTGTCTGACATAACGTTTTCTAAGCGATTTCACTGGGAGGACATAAATATATTTCGATATGGTGTACTACGCAAAGGGCTGAAACGTGCATGTTTTCAAATTTGTATCCCTCACATTTGGGCGTTAACGACTACACACTTGGCCGTTAGTCGAACCATGACGACGGGGTGATTGTTCCCCTATAGTCATATTATTATATTCCCTGCAATATATTATATTATTACATTGTTGTTATTATTTTTATTTTTGCCGACTGACCGTTCGACTCGACCATTTCCCATTCAGGCTCAACCAATACTGTATACCAGTGTTCCGGAAATTCGTCAGCGGAATATAATATCTCATCTCGTGCACTTGCAACCCACCAACCCCGCCCCTCCCCCTCACACACCACAAGACATAAAGATGGTGTAGTCGTTACGTGTTTGAACTGCATCTACCGATCGCAGCTTTATGATATTACCGTGTCTTTCGAACACCTTTCCATAACAAACTTCCTCTGTTTAGAGCAGCATTTCCGCAAGACGGGAGTTCGTCGTAATGGTCCTATTATCTGGGGAAGCCATTCGTCTTACGCTATCCGGAATGGGTATAGTCTATCGTAATTTCCTTTACGCACACTTCTAGTCTTGTGCGCGTCTAAATTTAAGACGCATAAAACGTATATCTTACAATAATATTATATTAGTGTGTATCGTACCCATTATTATAATATTATAAGACGTGTATGGAGTCGAAATAATATTATTTAAACGACTATATTTTAATATTGATTCGACGTGTCTAAGACGTTTGCAATTATTTGACCAACGCGTTTTGTTTGTACGATATTTTGTTGTTCGATAGGATCTAAAAAAACACAACCCAATCCAACAAAAAAAAAAATAATAATAATTCTTGCTGGCTACTTGGGTGGCGCGAATGTTCAGAGACGTATACTCACAAACAAAACGCCCAGAGATTAGATACGATAACATTAATCGCAGTCGCTACCGAAATTTACCGTACCGTATCATTAATGCGACTAAACGTTATAATTCTGTAATTACACGGGCTGCTCCTCCGAGGCAAACCAAACTACCTCCGATTGTATAAATGCTGTGTTATACATATTATACTATTCCATTATGCCAAAAGCGATTTTATTGAAAATCATTCGGTTTCGACATCCAATGGGAACTATATCGTTTGATCTAATTACTTGTATTATACGTAAATACGTTTGTACTTTGTATGTGCATTATTATATGACATTAAATGATTACATTTGCGATCGACAGATTCGTTTTGTTCTATGTATGACAAATACAATACGACTGCACGGTTTCAACAATAACAACAAAATATTTAATATATAATAATATTCTAGAAACGGAAAGCCGACGTGCTGCGAGAGACCTCCGACGTTGTGACAAAATTATGTTTGTACAAATACATACGGAATCTGAATTAGTCATAATATTTCCATTTAAATTTTCCATTAAAAAAATGAATAACTTAATAATAATAACAGCTGGATTGTTTTTTTTTTGTTTTAAGTTATTTCAAATTAAAGAAAAACACATTGAATAGGAATGTTTATGTTTCATATTTGATTGCGCATTTTAATGTAAATGTGTATACCTAACTTTCTATTTATTATTTACTGCAGAAAAAAAATTAAACTTTCATTAATTAAACCTTTTTTAAATTATGTACCTGTAAGCCCGCAGCATTTTAAATGTTGTTTTCTCATAAAGAATACATAATGTTAAAATGTGTACTTACTTCAAAAAATTTAGCAATTGGCCTCGTTTTCGATGTTTTTATTTATTTCCTTTTAAAAATGTAATTTAAAGTTTTATCATTGTGTGTGCTCTCTCTTAATATCAATTATCTTTTAGACGGAATAGCATAAACTCACTGATAAAACGATGTTTTTTTAATAGCTGGAGGTTGCAGTTGAAAATAAATAGACTAATGTTTCTTCTTATTTACATTTTTTAAGCGTTATTCTAAATTCATCTCTTAGATAACAGAGAAAAATGATGAATAAATTGCAATAATATTATTTGCATATCAATGAACATAATATACAAACGTCTTCGTTATTGGTCTTTTATTATAGTCTTAACCTACACCACTACACCAGTGATACTATCGCGGGAATGTTCAAAGGTTAAATAAAAAGCTATATCCGTAGGCGAAATTCGGTAGTGGTGGGTGGGTTTTCGGGGTTTGTGCTTTGTCGTTTGGGGACAAATCGTTAAAAAATATATATTATAATGCATAAAATTATAATACACATTCTCGCATAATATTAATATTAAACATACATCGTTTAAAAACACAATAACATAAAACATACATTTAATTTATGTTTAACGTTTAAAATTTTAACGTAGGTTGAAAATGTTAAAAAAAAAAAGGTTTTTAGATACCAAAGTCATAAAAAGCATTTCAAATTTAATGAAAAACATTACGAACAATAATTATAATTCTGCTCGAGATCGTTTTCGATTAAAGCGAAAACCGTCCGGATATATAAACTTCAAAACAAAAATCGTGACCATTAGGTTTTGTACGGAATCAAATGGTTCGACAATTCTTTTTGGCCCTTTGAAAGGTTACAATGGTCGACATTTATTTTAAATCCTAATCAGAGAAGTGCAATCCGAACGAATTCCTGTTATTTAAAACCATTCAGATTTTAATCGGTCAGTAAAAGTTTGACGACGAAAATAAAATGAAAAAAATCATTATTCCACTCTGCAATGCTAATTCGTATTTCAGAGTGTTTATAATTTTGACGTCCATTTCATTCCGTTTTATTTTTTTCCCGCGACGTTCGCTGAAATTCGATGTAAATTTGTTTTATTTATTCGTTTGTTTGTTTTTCATTTGTTTAATTTGTATTCTTTTTTATATTTATGTTTTGTTTTTTTTTTTTTTTTACACAGAAAACCCGACGGAGAACGCAGACGACGCTTGTCGGCCAGACAACTTCCACTCGCAGCAGTTGACGTTCAGCACGTTAGTGCGTAAGTACCAGTGTCTTTTTCTTTTCGCCATTTTATATTCTCTTTCCACCCCCCCGGCCCTCCTGTCCGTCGCGTCGCGTCTGGGCCGTCCGCGGCGCAGTGGCCGTCATCGTCTCCATCATCTCGCCGCGCCGCCCGAACGTCACGTCGTCACATCTCGTTACCGTCAACGCTCTAAGGAGTCGGGACACTAATGGCCCGCAAGACCCAGTGACGCGGCGGAAAATTGTCGTCTTACGATGAACCGGCCGCGGCATCCCGTCGTCGCTCGCGAATCGGTACTATATATATAATATTAGGTGCATGCACGACCCACCCATACACCACCCATACGCACACCGCCTTTTCCGGCCGTCCAGGGTGTTTCCACCCGGCAGGATCATTTATTTTATTTATACTATATAGGCATTTATACCGCGCACACGTATATACAATATATGATATTAAATATACATGTGTGTGCGTGCGTGTGAGAACAAGGAGAACGGAGAAAAAAATTCGGCCGGGAGAAGACGAGAAATCCCCGAACCATTAATCTTCATATTTACGTAAAAGTTTACACCGCGAGATTCCATTGCGTTCAATCACTTTATGATTGAAAAAGTTTCGTGTTTTTATTTTTCAACGGCTAATTTTTCACTTTTTCCCCTTTTTTTATTATAACTATTATTACTTTCGGAGACGAAATTGCCCCCCTAAAAATGCCGCCCACTCCGCCCCCTCTGCCAGCCTCCTGCACCCTCCCACCCGTTGGTGTCCCGCGTTTTTTCAATAAATTTAAAATTTTCCCTAAAACATTTATTATTATACACAGCAGTGGGGCGTTTTTCATTTTACCCTTAAATTTATGAACATATATAATCACTTTTTCCCTTTGCATATTTATTATCAACTCTCGCGTTTTGTTTACATCATGAAAATATATTATGATTCTAAAGTAATTGAATCATCGATAAATTTTACTGAATAAATCCGAGGTTATATTTTTACATCTTTTTATGGTTTTATGCGGTTTACCGGATACATATTTCTGTGTAGGTATGCTACCGCGTATTTGTTCCGAGATAATTGAAAAACATATTTTCAAACCTATGTACAAATATATACAATAGACATTGGTACGTCATACTTTCGTACTATAACAATAATTTATAGTTTAAGTTTATGAACAAAAACATATTATCTACCTGTTTTATAATGACTACCTTTATCAAGTATATATTATTATTATATTACTATACTTAATAATAATAATAATAATGATGAATACCATAACAGATATTTTGAATTTTCGTACTCGAATCGGCGTATCCTTGGTTTTCACAAATATATATAATATCATGGATACGGGATACCTGCTTAATATGGTTTGTGTTTTCTTGCTACGTGACATAAAGAATACACGGCGGCGTTAAATTACAAAATATCATTGTGGTTGAAACGTGACCGTTGGCGGTATATAAAGACGGTGTATGATAATATATAATATATAACTCTCACAGACGGAAGTGACGAAACTGAACGCCGCCACCGTGGTTGTGGGAAAACGACGCACGACACGATTGCGAAGCAATCTTATATACATTGAAACCACTTAAAATATAATATCGCAAGGTAAATAATTTCAATTTGCCCCCGAGTCCCTTTCGGCGGAAACGTTCCTAATAAAAGTTATTCGCCGAGTCTGAAAATGACGTACGCCCGCGAAGTTTTCGCAGTAACAAATTCATCCCGCGTGGCCTATAAAACAATTAGCAAAAGGTATAATGGAAAACACATTAAGTATACCACTTCCGAGGGGGGGGGGCTGCCAGTCGTCGTACGTATACATATATATATATATTTATAATAAAATATCGTATACGTATTGTTCGGTGTACGCGGCGCAGTGTGTTTGTATCGTTTTCTAATTTAACGCAGTTGACCGCGATACCGAAGCAAGGGCTGCGCCCGGGCTCGTCCGAAACGGAAAGACTATAAGTATATACAACGCACTGCGATAATATATGCAATTGTATTTTAATTAAAATCGGAGTTAATTTACTCGGAACATGTTCGTGTGCATACATGTATACGAGTATTATATTATGGTTATATCCTCGCGAAATGCGATTTTCTTACTGTTCGTTCTGCAGGTCGTGCCATAGATTTTTGTTTCGTACGACCGGTTTTCATTTCGTAATAATACTACAATATAATATACAGTAATCCCGCTCCAATTTTCGATACTGCGTGATTATTTTAACAATGTTCCCGGAACAATAGAGTGCACGTGTTACGTAATTCCGCTCAAAACCACAGCAGGGATTCGTATAATATTAAATAATATAATATCTCGGTGAAAAATATCGCATCAAAAATAATTTTGGTGTTTCGTAGTATTATGATGGGCGTGTTAAATGACATAATTAATCATTTTTTTTTTTTTTGTTGTTGTTACTGTATATTATTATTAAAAAGTTGTATTAAACAAAAGATCCAAACAAATTGACTTCAATTTATTTTTTTAATAAAACTGCTTCTTATTGCTTTTTTTTACGTCTGACAAGTAACTGACGATAGACTTAAAATATAGTAATTCGTGAAAGCTGCGGCCAATGAATCAAACCTGCACGGGGTTAATACCGACATAAGTTTGTGCTTTATATATTATGAGGAAAAAAAATAATAACTAGGTACCTATATCAATACAAAGACCTGAGCCTACCCTGATGTTTGACCCTTATATTATAATGTACCCAAAATATGCATTTTAAATTTTTAAATGAATATTTTTAAATTAAAAACAAGAAATTTTTTCTTTTTTCTTTTTGTATTAAATTAATACATTAATATTGAATGAGACACTTGAATACTTCGGCATACTGTATAAGCACCTGTGCGGCCCTGTGTTTCGATCATATTTTGTGCGGTTGTCTTATACAATAATCTATCTATGAATAAAATTAATCGGCGAACCTCGAGTGCTTCTAAGAAAAACATTCATCTGCGTACCGTCAACCAACAACCATAATATTATAATATGATAAAAATTAAGAACTAATAATATTAATATTAATTCTTTGTTAGTAATATAGGATTGACTGTACATTTTTAAAAATATATGAAAATTCCCTTTAAAAAATGCGTATATTGTACAATTTATTCTTATAACCGGCCCTGAATTTTTAAACTAGACACTGCTCTATATCGATAATCTCATAAATATATTTTTTCGATAAAAAACGGATGATCCTTTATAAAATGTATAGAATTAATTTATTCCCATATTTTCCTTCGGCCGTATATTTAATTATCTCGATAAAACGTTTTATTTTCACTCGTATAAATGAATTATTAAATATAAAAAAAATTCTCTATGGAGGTATCCGTTTTAATTTTCATACTTTTAATTGGTTTTATGACATGAAAACCATCGCACAACAACAAAATACGAGTACATAATTTGTAAACTATAGCTAAACAAAAAAAAAATGATTCTCCGCCTAAAATCTCGGAATTATATAAAGTCAGTGTAACGGACTTTTGGAACTTCTTTATTGTCATCGGAAGTCGTGATGGCATTGTGTAAAACGAACTTTGAATTTTTCACCGAGAAAACGATGACTGTCGTGCCGCCCCGGACGTATATATAATAAGTGTCTGATATGGTAATATGCGCTACGTATAAAGAATATTATTATACAATGTATGGAGAAATGACGGTATCTGTCTCTTCCCCCTCCTCCTCCTCCTCCTCCTCCTCATCCTCCTACGCTTAATTCGTCGTCGCCGCGATCTTCTAGTCCATTTGTTGTTTTTATAATATTCCGTATATATACAATCAAGACAGCACCGATATAAAACCGGCGCGTTGTAGTATTACGAGACGACCAAGACGGTTCCTCCCCAATCGGCGGTGACTTATACACATTATATTATAATATACATATACATCAACATAATATAAATTATTTATAAGAGTTCGGAATGTGTTTGGGGGTGGCGAAGCTGTACAGTGTATGGCGTATATACACAGACACGCAGTACATATATCGTCAAAACGGCACGAACAATAAAAACAGTGGTCTCATTAAAACTTTTCAATAATAATATTATTATTATCTATCTCCACTTAGTGTGTCGGCCGCAAACAGCCCAATGGATTATATGGTTGGCATGTGCAATAACGCACGCAGTCTGTTCCAAAGTTTCCGCCATTCCGGAACATTACGCTTGGCCGCAAAAGTTTCTCCTCTCCCCCTCCCCCGTCCTCTTACCACATACTCATATATACATATATAAACTTATACCGTGGTTATTGTCTATATATAATACACACACACACACACACACACACACGTGACAGAGTGGCAAGAGAATACCGCCGTATACATGTACGAAGCCATATCGTCGCCGTGTTCTGTTACCGTGCAATCGTCACACACACACACACACACACACACCCACATCCACACACACCAGCCCCACCGCCCCCCGTACTGAGACCAGCGCCCCTCTCGGTGTTATTATACGATAATGACGTGATAGTACAAATGTTAATATTATATTACAAATAATAATACGATATAGACTGCTGCCATCATCACTAACACTCGCTGTTTTCTTTGCAGCTCCGGTGCCCAAAGGTCGCGAGTGTCCGTTCCTCGGCCGTTACGAGATCAGCGGCGGACTGAACGCCGAAGACGTGGGCAAAGCGCTGGCCGCCAGCCGGCCCGGTAGCGAGAACAACCAAGACAAACCATCGATCCCGTGCAACCCACCCGGCAAACAGTACCTGACCATCGGCTGCAATTCGCCGGACACCATGGAGTTCCAGTCGGAGTGCGGTACCAAGACCGTAGCTGGTAAGCGAACAAACGACAAGAAGTCGAACTGCATGTATAATAATTATAGTGCACCCGCAACCGAACCGTGGTTATCGCGGTGTGCAGTCCTTGCGGGTCCCGGGGTGGTCTCGCTTTCTCACCTCCCTCTGAAGGGGTGAGGCGGACTTCACACCCAATCAACTCGCTTATCGCGCGCATACATCGCAATTCCCACGTAGCAATGGCGAAACGAACATTATTGTCTTTGCGACAAGCATTTGCTTCCGGATTTGTTTTTTATATTTAGGGGTGGTGGGTCAATTTTACGTTCGTTTCGCCACTGCAGTACGTAGTATATATATATATAAGACGCAGTTCTAGTATACAGCCATGGCAGATCACGACGTCATGAGGTAATATCATAATATATACATCATCTAACGATTTCAATAATCCCGCATCTAGTTTATATATTTTATTAATATTCGTGTCGGAATCGCGTGTCGTGGCTTATTCGGGATTTTTAAAAGGAGATGGGGATGGGATTATTCTATAATATACTGTAACCCGCTGCACCCCACCACAGCGGAGAATCCCCCTTGAACCGCGCCGCGTAACCAACTCGTACGACGAACACGCGCGTATCTTACACAGTTATACCTTCTCATGTCATACATAATATATTATATGCTCTATATATACACACGAAACACACGAATCCTATTGTTGCCGTGTTCCGTGTTGCGTGCGTAAAATATACAAATAGATATATTTGCCGCGTATACGTTTTTTTAACATAATATATACTAAACTGCTGCACGTCTCGGGTTTTTTTTTTATTTCGCAGCGTACACGTGCTACGGACACTGGAAGAACGAAAATACCGGCGTCAACTACGTGATATCCACGCCACAGGGACGATCGGCTACCAATTCCAGACGATACTGTTTCATCATGTCACAAGTGAACGGAATGGCTCAGCAAATGTTGCACATCGCCTCGGTGATGGAATCGTGCCATCCGCACCCGCTGGGTCGGCTACACTGGGCGTTTAACATAACGCACCAAGGTATGATATATTTTATCATCGTGCTCGTCCGAGGTTTTCGTTTTGGGGAAAGATCTATAATTTTGTTGTATACCGCAGTATATACATGCAAATCCAGTGCCATTTCGTGGGGTTGGGGGTAGGTGAAGGGCAATGATTTGAAGGCGTGAGTGATCTTCCCAAGTCTCGCCCGACCTTATTAAAAAACATATAATGATCCCTAAAATAAAAAATATATCTGCGTAATATATATTTTTTTTTTTGGAGATTTAATAATGTAATACTTTATAAACATTAATTATTTAAATTTTAATAACAAAGACTTAAAATTAATTCGAATAAATTGTAGGTACAGCGTGTGATAGTTATTACCTTTTCTTTTACGTTTAGTACCTCTGCGTGTACAATAATTTATTGTTGAAGGAAAATACGTAGACTTCGTGTACTTACAACGATGTAGATAATTAATACATGAGACTCATCAGCGAACCGATTTACAATGTTATAATGTCATGATACATATAACATATTGTATTATAATATAATTACATGACGTCCACGACGGACAGTTACTCTCAATGACGATATAACACTGTGTTATTATTATTAATGAATTGTTAATTGTATAATTATTATCCATCACCGTCACGTTGTTATGGGCGCCTCACGCCTTCCTCAGACGACTATCGTTCGAAACAACCATAGAAATTTCGATTACATAATATTATTTTTATATAGTGTAACTGCCGCTGGTAGGTGTCAATGGCAAAACTAAAAACGTTCTGGCGTTCTGCAACGGTAATATATAACAATAATATTGTTGAAGTGGACGCGTTGTGTGAATGAATTATAATACATACCTTTATGCATCGGAAACGTACAGTAACGTTTGGTCAAGGGTATGTGTGTGTGTGTGTGTGTGTGTGTGTGTGTGTGTGTGTGTGTGTGTGTGTGTGTGTTTGTTTGAGGGGAGGGAGATGAATACCGGGTACGAGAAAAAACAAAAACCGAAAAAAAAATCGGTCCGGAGATTTGGAAACAAAACAATCGACGACGAGAAACGGGTGGTGTTGACGTTTGCCGGATGCTCGTGATTTAAGTGGACGCGTGTTTATGTGCGCGTGTGTCCGAGCCCGTTTGAATGGTATATATTTCCGGCCGACCGGAATCGGTTTTAATTGATATTCTTTGTGACATTCAATACGGTCACACAATAGGTACTTATAAGTGCAACGACAATAATGAATTATTTTTTTAATTTTCGTCCCCATCAGGTGTGTGCAGTTCCGAATCCAGCAGCGCCATCGTTTCCGGCTTACCGGTCCTAGTCCTATTTGCAGCCCTGCTGGCCGCCATAGTCAATCGCCGGTGATCATCGTCGTCGTCAGCAGTCGTGTCGGCCGGCCGGCCGCTAGACATTTAGAGGAGGCTCGCGCCAATGTTAAAACGAAAACCAAGACCACGTCGCTAAAAAAAAAATAAAAAATATATTAATAATCGGGCGGTCCCCCCGTGTATACATATTATTATTATTATTATTATTATTATTATATAGGTGTTAGGGATCGCTTTTGTTTATTTAATTGTTTACAATTTTTTTTTTTTTAAACCGACTTTATTGTGATCGTATTTTTAAACTATTATTATTAATATTATTATTTTGATGTTACCCCAAAGCCAATCTTCTATTTCTCCCTCTTTCTTTGTGTTTTTTTTTTAATTTCATTATCAATCTCTCTCTATCTCTATTATGTTATGTTATTATTATTATTATTATTATTATTATTGTACTTGTAAATTTGTTTTTTAATCGATGGTGCAGAGTCGTTTGCGTTAGTTTCGATGTTTATATTACCGTAAGCGAATCCGCATACGTTTGCTAGGAATGATTATAATATTATAATATATACCATCATGGTTATATATTAATACTTATTTTTTATTTTTCAATAATTGTAAATATCGAAAATTGTAAATTTTTTTATTATTATTATTATTATTATTATCGAATTGTAATACGAGATCAAATCCGTGTCCGTGTAATTCGACTCACATATACCACACACGCCTGCTTACCAAATTATCTTTTTTATTATACTATATTAAGATTTTAATTTTAGCGCTGAATGTGTACAAAATCGATTCTATGTATTCGTGCAGGTCCTATATGTTCGTTTTTTTTTTTTAGACATAATTCTTACCTTTTTAACGAAATATTATTGTATACGTATACATATAATACGAGAAGAAGATGCTTTATATATATATATATGTGTGTATATATATATTGTTCATGCTCCATGTGATAAAAAGTGGTAAGGACGTATCATAATATTGTCCTGATTCACTTTTCTTCGTCACCCGCAGCTGATAAGTTTTTATTTTTATTCTACCGAGCGAGTCGCACGCTGCGAGCTTTGATCGTCTGGAACGATATTGGACCGATACAGTGATTAACTTATATTATCGTTTGTTTACATTTTATTATTTTTATTTTTTGTATTTGGGAACATTCGACTCGCTCCGTACAATAATTATTTTTGAATGTTCGTTATTGCCTATATTTAAAGAAAAAAATGTTATATATAAATAATAATAAAAAAAAAATAATAATAAAAGTACACGACTATCTTAATGTGTATAGCTTTATTTTTTATTAAATAAATTATTGTTCATTTTATTAATTTTAAATATTATAATGTTAGTAAATATATTATTATTTTTTTTTTTTTTTTTGTTCGGTAATTTAAATTGATGTATAAAAAACTATAAAGGGCCAAATAAAAATGGTGTCATATTATGCGGAAATCATTATTGAATACTCCCCAATTTTTTCCTATCATATTTATCATAATTGGTACCACCACCTATAATATGTATAATACATTCCTTGAAGTCCTATCCTAATATCTAACTAAACCTGGCGCCAATCGTTTTAATATGATACGATAATATCATATTATGTGCACAATTATTGTCATTCTCTGCGCTGATCTTACACTGCATAACCGGTCAGAGGCATATTAAAATAATTACTGTTGGGGCACCCCCCCCCCCCGTGACGTATCGTATATTATAGTTTATATGAATCAAATGCATATTAATTGTTTTTGTTCCAACTCATCAAATCCTCTTTGTATCAACAATGCGAAATTGTTATGTTTACAAAAGTGGCTGTCACCCAGGTTTGATTAAGCCGATTTCTAACCACGGACATCGAAGGATGATCCGGCCATTTCTTCTGAGTGCTTATCATACGGAAACTGAAAGTTGCATTTATGCAGACCCCAAACCATGTAACGGCTTGGAAAGTTTTTCTTATGTCCAGATAAGACTTATTAATTTTACAGCCATTACGATTATCACGTACAATAATAATATAAAATATATGAAATTTATTAGCGCCAATGATGATTGCGGCTAGTTATAGTTTGTTCCAATTATATTACGTACATATAATGTTTGATCCCCCTCCCCCTTTTAAAAAATCCTAGCTGAATTCCACTAAATTATTGTACACCTATACACAGGTTTAGGTAAGTCGTGTGCGTCGTATATTGCCGTCCGTTCGACATTAATATTATTATACAGCCCGTCACATCGCCGTACGACCTAACCGATTTGCGTTAAGTACCTATATGCTTACTGATTGCATTTTTTTTTTCGCTCCGCATTGTTCACCCGCAGACATAATAATATACACTAAACGTCTATACATGTATATCGTTTTATTCCGACCGTATTCATAGGTATATGGTGCGATGTCGTCCCGGGGGGATGGTCTTCGTTGGTCCGAATTTCCCGACCCGAGTGCGGACCATAATGTTATGCCACTGGCGTTTTTCGAATCCCCTGCGGGCGGCGCCGCGCGCGACTGTGAAAAAATAAAAACCGATGACCGTGTTTTCGGGATTTACACGAATTTTTAAATTAAAAGTTTTTTTTTTTTCGTCCCCGACAACCGTATTATAATGCAGTCGTGTGCGCACTGCACTGCGGAGAAGAACACGACAATTCAATTTAATCGCGACCGATTCAATATTATTACCTATATATTATTTACTATATTCATACTATGTACCCACACAGCTGTATACACACACGCCGCGTGTTTTTGTATTTGCAAACCGCATCGACGACGACGATGTACCCATGCACGGTGCGTTTTCGGGTGACATTAATTGTTGACTGATTTGTACAATATGACATAGCTTGTGACCGGTAATTAATACGCTCGGTAAAAAGTAAAAACCATAAACCAAAAAAAAAAAAATCAATACCGCGCAGTACTCGAAAACGGAAAAAACAGATACCGTCGTACCTCGCTCTAGACGTCTGAAATCGGCAACATCGAAATTTGGTAAAAGTAATAATGCCGATAACTAAAATCGAAAAAATTAACTTTTTATGCGACGAAGATTCTATACTATGAAATTATTCAAATATATAGGTACCGCGTGTCCGACGAAACCGACTGCGTGTGGGATAACATAATGTCATAATAATAATATTAAATGTATGTGGACATGTGGTCGTACACGCTTGTCAACAGAATACGTTATGAGTACTCAGAATCGAAATAGTATTATAATATGGGAAAACAATAATTGTTGAGCATTACAAAACTCGATCAACGTTTGATCAGTGGACAGCGGTGCTGCGGGAATTGCCGCACACATCGTCTGCAGTTACCGCCGAGCCAATATAATAATTTTATATTATATTATTATTATTATTATTATATTACAGAGGTGGTGGATCGGTTTTGTCTGTACATTTGCTTATTATTATATTTGTATAAAGCCCACGATCGGTAGGTAATCGAATATGAAAAAAATGATTCCACCACGAATGAAACTGACCCGAACTAAATTTGTTTGGTTTTCCTTTGTTTCATTGGCTCCCAGACAGGTTAGCAAGGCATACTGTCATAGGCGTTAATGGGTTGGAAGGGGGCTAAGGGGCAATATCCCCCCTCCCCCAAAAAAATCTTCTACGCCTATGCATACTGCAACTGCATGTTCTCTCAAAGGGGGTTTGTGTAAATTACTGGTGTCACAGGGAAGTTTATCGTATGTATAATATAAGCTATATTCTATAGTAATTAATTTCCATGAACCACATATTGATTAATAAGCGAGTATAATTGTGTAGTGCTTCAAGAATATTGTTTCAAAATAAAAAAACCGTACGCGCTGCAATAGTAAGCGCGTACGAAATGAAACTTCTTTACAGAGGGTGTGAAAAAAAAGGTTCATCGCGGTCAAATATTAAGTTTGTAATGGAAAAATTAAAAATTAAATTGAAATTAATTTCTTATTGTACAAAGAAGAGACAAATTGATCGTTATTTATTAGGCACCATATAGAAACCTCTGCAGGGTCCAAACAGCATACACGACTGCAGGATTTTGGCGACCGGCGTCTGCTATCTGATTTTTATTTAACATATACTTATAATATATTATAAGCTTTGATATGAGAGATAAAAGACTTAGATTGTGGTAACCTGACAGTGACATTTTTCAGCAGCAGACGTCAGTTCCCCCATTTCGGTGTATTTGCCGCGCTATAAATAATTGTAATAAACTGTTATATTTGGTTTTATATTATTTATACTATGGTTGTATTTGAAATGTTGAACTGTTAGATGGATGTTACAAATATTCTCATCCAAATATCGATTAGTAACGTCGATTAATGGTTCATAATCTATGCATAATGTGTGGTTGTATTACAATTAAACTGTTGTACGGATGTCGAAAAATGATGTTCGATAGATGTTTCATGAAAGACACCTGGCACAGTGGTAGAAATAAAGTCACAGCCCACAGGGACAGTTGAATATTAAACTACAGTATTGATGCTTCAAAAAATGATGGTTAAACAATTTTTCTCGGGAGCGACATCATCGAGGTATGGAAAAAAGGTCACTGAGTTTAACATAAACGTAGATACTTATGTGGAAAGCAATCTGTGATGTTACATGTTCCGAAAGAACATTCTGTTCACATTGCTGGAACAAAATATTGCCCAGTGGGTAGGCCGGAAATATCCAATCGTCTGACTGGACTCTTCTACAGTGTCGAGTTAGCCATGGCTCCTAAAAGAACTATTCACTTCAGAAAAAATGGGTGGGTAACTTTTTTTGACTTCGTGTGCTCTCTGCAAAACGCCTCCGCTGCTTTGTTTACTGCAGCAGTACACGATCTAATTGTAACTGGAGTCTGGAGGACATCCGGCCCCGTCGTAAATTGCAAAATCTAAATCGGAAGTCTCGCCGCACCTAGACTCTTGACCTTTGTCAATGGAACTTACACCGATTCCCACTCACGGGACCCGCGCCGAATACAATAAATATTATATGCGCGGAATAGTACGACTGGTGCACTGCTGTCGCTTCACTGGCCGCCGCCGCTGCGCTCGTGATGGATAATAATATAAACGAGATAAAACGAAAAAACAAAACAAAACGCCCTAGCGAAGG